GCCCGAATTGTGGGAAGTAATGGTGAACAGAGTTGTAGCTAATTAAGAGCAGGGCTAGCGGCGACGGCAATCAAGGTGGTGTAATTAATTGTAAGCAGTAGGTTCGTCGCAGTCAGACACAGGTCGACAGCCACCACACATCCAGGAAAGCGCTAAACAGCCGTTTCGTCCTATTGGGACTGGTCAGTAGCGCGCACCCACTGAATCCTGCCGGATTCGAACCCACGACCTTACTCTTGCGAGTCAACGACTTATGTCACTGAGCCATGGGCGACGGCAGCGGACCGCCATGATGTAATTAAATAAAAAAGAAACCCTTCTCAAGGTCTGTGGATAATGGAACTGGGAGAACCAATATTCCGATACGGTTATGCTGCGTATACTTTGCGATAACAGAACGTGCGCAAACCGACCTTCAATTGCCCTGGTTAAATTCTGCTTTTGAAATGGCGACGGTTTGCCCAATCATCTAGGAAGCTAATGAGCATATGCGCAACACATGTGTAGCCGTAAAATGAGTTTGGCTTTTGTTTTGTATGGCACTTAACCGATGAATGCATAGTAAGGGGATTTTTACTAAAAGCTTCCTGCGTTACAGTGGCTAGAAAAGCGGGAAAGAAAGACCAATGAAAGAAGGAAAGTAAGGCAAGGTCATTGTCAACCAATCGTGTGAGTACCTGTGTTCACGAATCAATACTCAAGTTCATATGTGTCACCCCTCTCTTCCCTGGTCAAGACTGCAGACTCCGGGTTGATACTGACCAATTGGCTTTGGCGTGCGTTTTGAGTGTGTTAATTGTGATTGTACCGCATCCGTTTGTGGTTCCTGGTTTTGTGAAGCAGGTTCTACGTCCGTTTTTGGGTCAGTAGCAGTCGCTTTTTGATCCCGCCCATGTGGTTCGTTTGAGCGTGGCCGGATATGGTCAAAATGGCAGCGCACCACACGAGCATCCTCCAGCTGTAGCTTCGCTTCGTCACTCGTTGAGGACATGAGTGTAGCAGGTTGCCAGCTTGTTTCGTGAGACAGTCTTGTGTATACCGGATCAAAATCATCTAGAAAAATTTCCTCAAGCATCTTCTCATCCACACACATTTTCTTCTGCTTTTCCTCTATTCTCTTTCGAGGGTTCGGAAAAAGTAGGTGCAGTCTCGTTCGTAATGGCCAACCAAACATTATTCCCGAGGGTGACATCCCTGTCGACTCAGTCGGTGTCGTGTGGTAAAAGAACCGGAGACGATCCAACTTAGTTTGTAGAGTTCCATGAGTCTGCTTGAGGAGACCTTGCTTAACAGTCTGGACTGCACGTTCTGCCATTCCATTCGACGCAAGATGTCCGGTGCAGACTTAATGTACTGTATTCCACTGTTACTAAGGAACTGTTGAAACTCTTCACTGGTAAATGGGGTTCCGTTGTCGGTGCTTACCGCCTCTGGGATACCGAAAATGGTGAAGATGGATCGCATTTTGGCAACTGTTGCTGGGGATGTCGCATGTGGAACTGGATGTATTTCTATCCATTTAGAATGAGCATTAATCAAAAGTAGGCACATCAACCCATTGATTGGGCCAAAGTAGTCCGCGTGTACCCGCTGCCAGGGCCTCTCCGGCCAACGCCATGGACATATCAGTCCGGGAGATTTTTGACTTTGGTATTTCTGATATTGCTCGCAGTTTTTCAGCAGCCGCTCTACATCATGGTCAATGTGCGGCCACCAGCAGTAACCACGTGCCAACGCCTTCATTCTGTTTATGCCGGGGTGTGCGTCATGCAGCTCTTTCTCAGCAACTGAGCCGTAGTTCTTCTGGTGGAACTATGATCAAGCTTCGAAATATATATCCACCCTATAGACTCAACTCATCACTCCGACAGACAAATGGTTTTAGTTCGTCTGACGTGCTTGTAGACCATCTGATCATCTAGAACCGTTTCACCTTCAACAACACAGGGTCCCGATCAGTCAGGTGCCGCACCACCTCACTCCGGAAGGGTGTATTTTCAAGGTGTTGCATCAAATTGATAAGCTCCATGGGTTCACTATTCGTTTTTGTGCCATGCTGTTGCGAGAGACGGCTATGTGCATTGGCAATGGTATTACTTGGTCCGTTTACATACTGAGGTTTATAGTTATAGGCGCTCAAAAGTAGTGCTCACCTTTGCATTCGAGACGAAGACATTTGTTGAATCCTTTTTACATAGAATCGAAAAAGTGGCTTATGGTCGGTGTGGATATCAAACTGTCTACCTCAAACGTACTGGTGGAAATGCTTGACTCCGTAAATAATCGCTAAGGCCTCTGTCCAGTTGGGAGCAATTATTTTCAGCGGGTTGCACGGTAAGAGAAGCAAAAGCGGTTAGACGAAGAGAACCATCATCCGTCCGGTGGCGAAGGACTGTGCCTACTCCGCGTGGGGAAGCATCACATTGCAGCAATAGATGCCGGCTCGGATCGAAATGCAAGAGATACGGGGAGGCGCTGACCAGTCTTTTTGCATCTGTGAAGGCCTTTTTTAATCAAGACCCCAAGTCCGGCACTTCCTCTTGTGCAACAGTTCGTACAAGGGTCCAAATACTGTTGAGGCCTTAGGTAAGAAGCGATGCTACTGAGAAAATATCCCTAAAAACGATCGGAGTTCAGCTTCATTGTTGGGTTCAGGTGCGACAAGGATGGGCCTTACTTTGTCTTCTAACACGTCTAATCCGTTTTTATCGAGGCTAAAACCAAGGTAATGAAAAAAATTTCAGAAAAGCGTACTCTTGAACTTCTTCGGTTTGAGTGCGCTCTGTTATAGACGTTCGAGCACAGTGGATAGCGTTCGTAAATGTTCAGCATCTGTGCGTCCTATAATTAGAATGTCGTCAAGTTAAGCGAAGTGAAAGGAATATCTTTGATCAAGTTGTCAATGATCCTTTGGAATATCGCTGGGGCTAAACTGATTCCGAAGGGCAGACGTTTGTACTGAAATAGACCCATGTGGGTACTTATCGTAGTGCGTGAGCGAGAGGTCTCGTCTAACTCAATTTGTAAGTACGCGTGACTGAGGTCGATCTGTGTAAACTTTTGTCCGCCTGCCAACGTAGCATATAGATCCTCTATCCGAGGTAAGGGATAGTTATCCAGAATTAAACAATGATTAACAGTTAGTCTATAGTCATCACAAATACGCACAGAATCATCCGGCTTCAGAACCGGAACGATTGAAGCTGCCCACTCAATGTATTGTACTGGCTCGATTGTTCCTCCTGATTGCAATCTCTTTATCTCGTGTCCCACCTTTGATCTCAGGAAATAAGGTGGAGTACGTGCCCTGAAAAAGCGGAACTGAGTTCCCGTCCGTAAGTTGTTATTAACATGATATCCGTGCAATTGTCCTAGTTTGTCGTCAAAAACGTCAGAATAATTGTTGAGCACATCCTCCAAGCGCTGATTAATGGACATGAACTTCATTGTCTCTAGCGTGGCCGGAAGGCATTTAATCCAATCGCGCCGGAGTAAGTTTGGACAATCATTCGCCACAACATACGCCTGTAAGATCAGCTTCTCCCCTTGGTAATTTACATGAAAGTGCATTTTCCAAGAACTGGTATCGGATGCCCAATGTACGTACGTAAAGTCGATTCACAGGGAGGTAACTTGGGTAATCTTTTAACCGATGCGGCAATGATTATGGCAACTGAGGCACCGGTAACCAAATGGACTTCTATTTCCAATTGCACAGTGTAGTGTTGGTGAATGCTACAGATGCTCGACTTTGTGTTTCAGCTCGTGTTTAGCTGATCTGCTTCGTCTGAAGACTGGACGAGTTCACGGCTTCATGGGAAAAGAAGATATCACAGCTGTGCCAGCTTTAGATCGGCAAACTCGGACCAAGTGCCCTAATTTTCCACATTGGCGGCAGATACTCTGTTTATGACGACATTCCTCGATTGATAAATGACGACTTCCACATCGGTATCCGACAATTAGGACCGTCTCGGGGTAACATCTTTTTTGGTCGACTGCTTGGATTGTGTGTTTGAGGTTGAGAGGAAAAAGCTGCTAACTGTTTATGGACACTTTCCAGCTGTCGAACAATATTGCATGCCTTCTCCCAGCTCATCATCGTCTCATCTACCGACAACAACCTTTCACTAGCCTGTTCGTTACGGATACCGAATATCAAGCACTGTCAAGTTATGACCTCTTCGAACTTCGTAATTGGGATTTCGCTATGCCGACACTCTGGTAGGGCTTGCTGAATCCGTGCAATGAAATGAATGACACTTTCTTCAGGGTTTTGACGCAAGGTCAAGAAAGGATACCGCGCAGTGTGTGTTCAGTCGTGAACCCCATAACCCGCTGAGGAATTCTAGCGCCCTGTTGACTGTCTCCTTCTTACCGACATGGAGCTCGTCAAAATGTCTTTGACCTTCATACCCCGGAAATTGTTTAAATAATTTGACTTTGCGGCTCTCTGACAGTACAGTTTACGGTTGCAAGACGGGTAATAGCCCCAAATAATTCAAAAAGTGTGCTTCCAGCGGTTCCAGGTAGCCGGTTTCTCAGAAGGAATATTCCAAAGTAGTGTAGGAAGGTGCGACATCGCAGTAGTTTAAACTCGTCGCCAGAATGTTAAGGATGGCCCTTGGCCAAAGAACGGAACAGAACGCGCATGCGTAGTATGGAACCGTTTTACTAAAAGATTCCTGCGTTACAGTGGCTAGAAAAGCTGGAAAGAAAAACCAATGAAATAAGGAAAGTAAGGCAAGGTTATTGTCAACCAATCATGTGAGTGCCTGTGTTCACAAATCGATACTCAAATGCATACTGAGAGTCTTGAAAACAGTTACAGCCGGAGGACATAACCCCGCTGTCTCCCAACTCGATGCAAACAATCTTATCATTTGTAAGATCTTATCATATGGATTGTCAAGATACAAGTTAGTGTGACTGCGATTGTCTTGCCTAATTTTCGTGTTGATTTGTTTGGATTAATTTCAAGGGATAGCTGTGTAGCTCACCTGTGCCGGTAACCCGATCTTCCCTGTTCTTGTCCCGTGGTACAGAAATACCGCACCACCATCATCCTCAAATGGAGCACCAACGGCGAAATCTGAAGACAGTCAACGACAGATGCAACGTGTAGGAAAAATAGGAAGTGAAATGGCTTTCCATAATCAGAATGTTTTGAATACTTCGGATGAAGAATTAGAAGTTGCAGTTAATAGTTTCGGGTATGAGTGAGAACTAAGGCTGAGTGGTCCTATCCGATACTCAGTTTGGCATTGTATACATGCTTCGGATTAGGAAGCTACTGAGGACGGCATCATACGGGTAAGCCAACGTTGTACATAATTTAATATCATGAAATGTAATCATAGCTATCTTAGAGTTGATCTTATCGACTTGATCTGCATCGCCGTAGGAAAACAATGTAAGCAGATGTCAGGAAAACGCCCAAATATTCCGGAACAGCGCAGTGGCGGACGTGGTGGAAATTTGTTGAGCACTTCATGTTAACATCCACAGCATGTAGCCTGTGCACCATAAACCACAGGCTTTTACTAACGATTACATGGGGTTGCTGAAGACGGAAACTGCGGCGGATAATCACAACAGCCTAATTCATGAGCGAAAACGGTTGCAACTGGTGCAAGCATATTTCGCGGGAGACATTGATCACACCATCCACCGAGGAATACTGTGACCAGGTGTTAACGAAAATATGTGCTGGTATCTTGGTAAATGTTTACTGGCCGGGAATATAAAGTCCATGTGTATGGGCTAACGGCACCAGTAAGACGCAATAACAGTTGGGGAATGGCAGTTCACAGTAGCAACCTGAGGGATTCAGCCCTCGCGCCACGTGATCTCATGATTTAAACAAACAATTTCTGCACACACTCCAACACCCATAGCGATTGCCTGAGTACATACTTAAATGACAGTTGTAGCTGGTGACAACCATTTGTTACAAAGAAAACACGAGTAGACCGTTTCGCCGTTACTGCCGTCCTTAAGCTGTGATGACCTGCGCCGCGCGTGGAGAACTAGGTAGCCATCACCACTAAGCTACATTGGGGATCCCGACCCACAACCCAAACTCACTTGGCTTGTACGTAGGTGCGCACCTTTTTGACGGAAGTTAAAATTGCTATTTTCCTGCCAAAACAATAAATATGATGCCGCTTTAAAGCGGTCAAAAAGAAAAAGGTGCAATGTTGCAGTACTCGCATTTTAATGCCGTGCTCAAGTGGGGACTTCTCCGGATTGCTTTACATGTTTGAATTTGATGTTTCAAACGTGCAGCTGACGTCCCTACGCAAACACAACTCACCGGGTGTCGACACCATTCGTCCAGAGGCACTGGAAGCAGCAGCAAGCCAATTGACAGGACATTTAGCTCAGTTTCTCCAGCGTTGCTTAGACCAGAATTAGTTCCTGCCATGTGGAAGCTTGGAACAATAAACCCGATTCACGAAAGTGGAAGCAGAACTGAGCTCTCCAACTATCGCCCAGTATCCCTTCTTCCTATACTCTCCAAGATCATGGAATCCATAGTTACCGATGCATTGGTGTGCTATCTGAAAAATTGCAATATCTTCACGTCTGAGCAGCACGGTTTCCGTTGACAGCAGTCATGTACAACGAAGTTACTAATCGCACGCGGTAGTTGGACCAAGTCAGTGGACGCTGGAGAAGGCGTTGATGTGATCCACATGGATTTTTCGAAGGCTTTCGATCGTCTAGACCATCGGATACTACTCTTCAAGCTCCAGCATTAGGGGATCGGCGACCTTCTTTTAAGCTGGATTGCCAACTTGCTACTTCAACGGCAATTAGTGGTCAGAGTTCGGAGCTCTTTATCGGACCCCATACAAGTCGAGTGTGGTGTGCCGCAAGGCTCAGTTCTTGGTCCACGTTTGTTTTTGTGTTTATTAATGACCTTGCACAGGGAATCGCTTCAAACTTCCTAATGTTTGCCGACGAAATAAAGATTTGGCGCAGGATACAGGTGAACGCCGACCAACATGTGCTTCAGAGTGACCTAGATACGGTGTATCCAGGGTCAGCCCAAAACTTACTACATTTCAAAGTCAGTAAATGCAAAGTGCTTTCCATCTGACATCGAAGCAGGTACATATACCGGCACGGAACGAATATACCGTAACGATCAGCTGCCGAACTTGACTTGGGTGTCCTGATTCAAGATGACTTGGGTTGCTCCAGGCAATCCGAAAAGGCCTCGAAGACTGGGAACCAACACGTCGCGGTGTTGCGACGAGCGTTTGGACAAATAAATAGCTCCATATTTCGACAAATGCTCAGTGCGTATGTTCGCCCCCATGCCAAATACGAAACTAAAGCCTGGCATCCATGGCTGAAACACGACCTTAATGCACTGGAGCAGCCACAACGCCGGGCATCTAAGAACGTAATTGGAATGCGCAATCGGTCCTACCAGGAGAGGCTGCGACGAGTGGGATTGTTCAGTGGAAGCTATCGCAGACTACGAGGCGACCTGATTATGGCATACCTGATCTGCGAGACTCACATCACGTGTGCCGCCCTTTACTGTGACTCAGCACTAATACAAGCCTGAGGGGCCACTCATTGAAACTCGCTGTATAGTATAGCCGCCTGCAGTGCTGCAGAAATTTCTTTTCCATTCGTATCTGTCACTCGTGGAATGCTCTCCCAGGATCGGTCGTCTCTGCACCGACACTAACAGTAATTAAAAGACGGTTGGATGACGCACTCACACAACGCACTTACACTTTGTCACTTAGCGCTATCTCTCCATCCTACACCTGGAGTTTATCATGGAATTATTTGAGGTTAACTGCGGGTGCTGTGAATCTAAGCGGATAGCAGGACTACGGCAGAGCAAACGATAAGTCCTTATTTGCATATTTGAAGTACTAACTGTTTTATTATGATTATTAACATTTTCGTTATTTCGATATACCCACCAACTATCCGAAGGGACTTGTAAATTAACGCTATTTAACCCGTATAAATTCATTGTCCATTTATTGTTTATATGTGGCAAAAAGTATGTTTTTCAACTTATTCGTATCTACGGCTGATGTCCTTACTAAATATACATTATTGCTCTATATGATTAGCAGCGCTGACCAGAAGATACGAGGTGCATGCGTCATCCAAACTACGTTCCCTCCCTGTGATTTATAAAAAGGACACCCGATCAGCATTTGATACCAAGGTTTTATTTGATATTTTCGTAAACAGTAGACAATGAGTCTTAACTTAAGGGTTCATGAGTGATGAGGTCAGGTTTCCATCGCCTATCGGTACGCGACTGTGTGTGGTTGGCAGATTCCGCAAGTCAGTAGCTGTGACTGTTAGCATCGAACTCAATGAAAGAACCAGCGCTGTTTCATCCGTAGTGCATCCTTAACAACGCATGTTATGATTAGTATGAAGAGTACTAATTACATAACAAACTGACGCTGCCCCACATAGACAGAATTTAGACTTGGATACGAAACTCTTGGCCTCGTAGTTGATAGAATGCTTCACTTTCGCTGCTGTCTATTTACAGAAATTTTATTGAATTCACAAGCCCAAGCAAAACTATTAATGTCAGACATACTGTCACCAGAAATGGTAAAAATGAATAGGAATCAGTAACTGACGTAGTTTTTATCGACTTCTCAAAGGAAGTTGACCGGTTAGACTGTGGCACATTCGTCTCCAAACTGCAGAACTTCGGCGTCGGTGATCCTCTGCTAAAGTGGATCAAAAGCTTCTTTCTCTATCGGTGCTTGAAGTTAAGAGTGCGTGAATGCCTATCAGATCCCATCCAAGTCAAACGCGGAGTACCAAAGGAATCGGCAATAGAGTCATGGTTGTTCTTGACCTATACCAAGATATAACATAGCTCATAAGCTCAAACAGCTTACTCTATGTCGATGACATCAAGGTGTAGAGGTAAATCTACATACCAGATGATTTCACACTGCTTTAACCCGATCTTGAGAGAGTTTAAATGTGGCCAATCTAGAAGTTACTTTGGTTCGGTGTAGGAAAATGTAGTGCTGCACTTACGGCCTCGACTAGCGTGCTGCTATAAACTGGGCTTCAAGCGTCTTTCAGCGAAAAGGATCTGGGTGCTTTGATTCAGACTGACTTTGTCTGTTCGAATCAGGCCGAAAAGCCATACAAAGCGTGGGCCTCCAGCGAGGTGCATTGGGACGATTCGATCGGACATTTTTAGCAACCACTGAGCTCACACATGCATCCACATGTGGAGTACACAGTAGAGGGTTAGTAGCCGTAGCTGCGGAGAGATCATACTTCTTGGGAGATACTTCAACGCTGAGCAACTTAGAATGTCAAAGATGTGGCCAATTTTCCGTAGGAATAAAGGCTGAGAGTGCTTGAGGTCGTCCGCGGACCATACCGGCGATGGTGTGGGAACCTCAGCTTGAGTTGTCAGATTTTAAGAGACCCCAACCACAGGTGCCAACATTTGCTGGAGCTCAGTCATAGCAGCAATCTGAGAGTCCACAATCTCAAGCTGGCAGAACAGTACAGTCGTTTGGAATGCCGCCGAAATTCCTTTGTCGTACGTGTTTGCCAAGCGTAGAAGGTCCTACTGGAATAGTCATCAGCGCTCCCACAGTGGGGGAGTTCACAGCCAGAGTTGACTGTGCACTCATTCCGCTGCACCAAATCACACGAGTCATTGCCCATGGATAAAGACGAGTATCTGTTAGAGAGTTCACAGCTGGTCAGCTCTTGGAATACATTCCACTTCTTTCACTTCCTGCATCTGTTTACTAGGAAGAAACATGGCTTCTACAAACGTTCCATTTGCCGCCATTCCTTATGCATTTACAGTTTATAATACCTGTACCTCGATGAGTCCACCGATGTAAAGTTATTTTTGCTAACATAGTTTCATAGCTTGCAATATGCACCATGACAGGACTACGGGACCTGTTAAGTTCTAGCTGTTTTACCCGTATTAAACCATTGTTCCAATTGGCATAGTTTCAAAAATCCAAATTCGGTGCCACCTCTGTATCTACCGAATGTACCTCTCAACATGTGCAACACCATCACCGAATCGTAGATGCGGTATCGGGAGAGTCTAGTCCACTGCTACCGAAGTAACATATTTTGGTCAGTCTCCCCAATACGGTGACTGCACTGTAGCACCAGTTCAGTAAGGAACAGTAGTCATGTATGCGCATGTATAGCGAAGATCACTCAGAATGATACATCGAGCAACAACCCTTTTCCACAATACTATCTAGGCAAAACGAGTTTAGTAACAGCGGACACATAATGAAGTGCACATATGTTGGATGTGAGATGGGCGAAGCATTTGAGCAGACTGACAACACGCTTGCGTTTAAGGCAACTCGTGCCACGCAACAGTGCAGCGACAAACGGTGTGCCGATGTCACCAAGGGCCGAATTCTGCGCTATTCGTGCACTGACAAGTTTACGGTGGCCATAGATTTATTTCGACAGCATGAAAAGAATCCACTATAGGGCAGCCGATAAGTCCAGCCACCGTAACGTGCCTTCTGACAAAGTGGCCAACAAGTATTCAGGATGTTGGATGCGAAAGCAACCATGCAACCTGGTTCTAACCACAAAATCATTGGGGGTCAGCCGGTCATCCGGCAATGAACAAGCAACATAGTCCGATCCCAGTCGGATCGCCTTTCAGGTATCAGTGAGTGCATCCGCAAAGAAGCTCACCAACTGGTCTGCACTCCCTCCTCAGCAAGCGAAAAAGTCAAGTTTGAGTACAACAAGGATACGTCTCCATGCATCTATTTGGCTTAGCTTACCGAACGATGTGGATAAAACTCGGCTTACTCTGGAGGCAGGCAGTTCTAATGGTAAGCTGCCTAGTCACAACGTCACTAACACCGTCAATAATGCATAAGCGATTGCAGGCAGGCGGCTTATGCGCGCACATAAGAGTGTAGCAATCGCACGTTACTGCAAGGTAATAAGAAGCTAACATTGGATATAAAATAATTACAGTACGCTATCTAACATCATCGTGTGGGATCGATTATCTTCAGCATGCCATGCACAGGTGTGAGCCGAACTCTGTGCAGGAATTCAAATCAATTGCACGTAGTGATGGCAGGTGGAGCACCAGAATTGCTTGCGCTCGCGCTATCTTACATCTCCGTCCCTTAAGTGGTTCAGCTCACGCGTCAACGACTAACGCATATGTAAGGTTGAAGAGCGGCAGTAATTAAGAAACTGGCGATGTACCCCTTGATGCCATTCTAGCTAGTCAAGTGAAAGACCTTGAATTCAGTTGGGGTGATGTGGTACGTTACATGTTATTAACGGAAAACTCAACATCCAATTTGAATACACCTCATTAGCTTATCATATTGAAAGGGAAGAGTACTTATTCTGAGAAGCATGAAATGTTGGCGAAATACCAGCCAGACGGAACATTAAATGAATTGCTTTATCGTGTTATCAAGCACTGTAGTGGTTGGAGCACGGTTAGTAACACCAAAACCTCACATCAATTGGTTTCGCCTCCATGTACGTCGAAAACCAATTATGTGTATTGCTCCAAGTGTACAACCCAGTGGTTGTCCATGGTACGCCGGACCAGTAGTTTGAATACACAACCTGCTACTTAGCATACTCTTCAGTATTTTTCAGTGCATGTTGCCGGAATTCGTCTGTTTGCAGGAACAGCTCATGGCTTAGGGCTAGGGTGCTTGTATTCAGAGCCAGTATAATGGAAATCAGGGCTTAGGGTTTCGGTTCAGCATTAATTATCCCCACTTTATACTTAAACAATGTGGCCACATTTTGGTGTCTGATAGCTACTGCTATGGCGTACTTAGCAAACGGCTTTCACAAACAGAATCTGCAAACCAGTTAAGCAGAAACCTAGTCCAAAATCGTACAGAAAAAGCAAGCAAAGAAGGGTAAGCAACACAATGTTTAAAATAGAAATCATAGTGAAGTGGGAGGCAAGGGAACGGTAGGGTGTCTAAAGTATCCTAAGATATCTCCATTCTGTTCCATTAACACTGGAGTTGCTAACGGAACTAAGAATGAAATATAATACGTTCACTGGGTGTTCATAAAACAATGGTGCATGGATAATGCTTTTGTTAATGCTAAACAAAAGCCATATCTCCGGAAGGTGAAACGCAGAAGCCGAGATGGGTACTGGTCATTGTTAATTTAGGCATGGCGGGTCAACAAGTCTAAAGGGAGCAGCGTGGTGTCACACTTGAACGTGCGAAGCTTACTAGCAGACTAGGTTACATACATTAAAGTTAAACTCTACCTTAAACTCAGAGGAAATGCCAAGTGCAACGCAGGCATATTTTCTCTTATGCAAAGTACCTAATGTTAAAACTCATTTTTCGTGGCTACAGGTGTTTTAACATAAGGCAATCCTGTGGGGTATTTCAGTGAAAGGAATCGAAATTCCTTTCATTCTCAAGGAACATGTGATCTAACTAAAAGCATGAACGGTTAAAATCGAGCTAGGACTTTGGTGTGCTGAACACGCTATCATTTTACTGTAATTTGATGAGTCAATAAAGAAAGAATATATCTGGGGGTTCGAATAGATGACAACTTAAGAAGGGTGATCAATATTTTGTAGCCGTTAGCTTAAGCTATGCAAGTGATCTACATATTGCGGCAGTGCATCTTCTTTTTGGTGCCCATTAACTACTAGTGCTCTCCGTTGAATACGCTACTCGACTTGATAACATTAAGCGTGACATCGCAGTGCTCGAGATCCCAAACTCGGGAACAGGGTGCGCCACATCCTGTACTAGTGATGGACAAGCAAGTTCACATTGTTTAGTAGATGCTAGACGCAGCTACGCTGATACCACATAGTGACATCTTAAATATTTGGCAAACCCATCCACTCGTGTCGCTATCACTTGATGTTTAGCCTAAATACCAACATGTGGGGTAGCCCGCCGAGCAACGCAATCGTCCAGATTGTCGATGAAATTGCTTCTCTCTTCGGGTCTGCTAACCCAGGTACGCACCGCAAAACCGTTCTTTCTACGCATACTTTATCCGTCTTCAAAAGGTGTATAGGGTTCGCAAGTGGCTCCGTGCACTCTATTCTCGTCAATTGTACGCCGTAAAAGTGCGTCGCTGCCGCTCGACCACCACCAGTCGTACGTGGGCTCAGTATACCGTGAAGACGCCTTCGCCTAAGTGGATTCGAACCGATGACTTTATGACTGCAAGCCAGCCGTGTAGACCACCGGCCACTGGCCGACCTAACTTACATGAAATTGCAATCCTCAGGGATGCACGAACATCGGTGTAAGCGGGCGGGCAATGTAAATCACTTTTACAATAAGTATTGGCTATGACGACTTGCTAGACGGATTCACACGCTGTTACCCAAGTGTAACAACCCTAAACCCAATAGACCGGTGTCCAATTGCCCCAACAACTTGTGTTGTGCACTGTCTCTAGGGCATATTCCTTGCTTTAGCAGTTATCACCCTGACCCGCCCACGGGCCATCTTATGTACATGCCAATTTATTAGTCACAAACCATGGTTTCACTGTTTCAGTAATCGTAGAGCCTGTTGCTTAGACTCTTTTCCTAGGCGTGGCTTGCATTATATTGAAATCGAAGTGATCATCAGTATGCGAGACCGCCTACCCTACAAAAAGGAAACCGTCTACGTATCGATAAGCTTGCAAATAAATACACTTGCGCTTAGTGCTGAAAGTAGTTAAATAGCAGTAGTTCATCTCGTGCGAACTGGTAAATATCATAAACCAGTGGCCTTGACACGACCGAATCACTCCAGCTGAAGCGTACCCCCAATTATGGCTGTGCATCGATGAATTTACAACGTCGCAACAGTGAAGCTCCGTTGGTGTCTATCGCCTAAGATTATGATTTAATCACCCTCGACGAATGTTTTTGAGATAGTTCGTGCACAAAATGCTTCAATTTTTACCTTGCAATCCATCGTGATTGATATCCCCAATTTTGGCAACGGTGGCCCCATAGCCGGATAACGAGGAAATCTTGCACTCTTTGGGTAGACCCGTCGGAGTAAGCAATTGATGTGCTCCCTGGGGCTCGTAGTCAAACGGGTCAAGTCCGGCAGAATCATCTACTGGGGAATTGAATGTTCTTTGCCGGTTAATGAAGATGTGTACAGCTCCATATTCTGGCAGGCTACCCTGCGCGGCTTTCAGCTGCTGATAGGGGGCACCAACGATCAAGTCGTCCCAGCTTAACAAGAATAGGAAGTAATGTGGCAAAGTCAGAGTGGCTAAGTAACACTTCTACGTGAAAGTGTCAGTAGCATCACTGAACTCAAAGGGAATGGCTAACAATTTATTCGTATACCGCAACAGTAGCTAGTGAAATATCAACAGCATTATGCTCAATTAGTAAAAGCCTGTGGTGTTGTATGTGTGACAAACGGCTAAGTGATTTGTAATGATGGATTCTAAGAGTTGAGAATAACAGAGCCAAGTAGAGTTGTGAGGAGCATGCAGATATAAAGGCTGTTTTACAGCAGGGACATTCCAACCTTCAAATTTATGAAATTGGACCACAAAAGAAACGCAGCTGGGCACTCACGAGAAGTTATGCAGATAAGTAGGGGAATCAAAACGGCTACTCGACTTAGTATTCCTTGCTATAAACGGAAAGCCCGTGGAAATGAAAAACTGAGAGGAATGTAAGGGGAATTAGGACCAAAGGTGGCTCTGAGGAATCACCGAGTAATTAAATAAGTTGATTTCCATCCTGAAGCTAGTTAGTGAAGAGCAAACGAGAGAAACCGGTTCCAACTGGACAGTACATATGAATTGGTAAACATGTGAGGCGGTAATACAACATTCTCATTTCGACGTAGCTGTTGCAACGAATCAAAATGTAATAAACTTTGATTTTTCAGCCTCTGTGATGCAAAATTGGTTAGCCAAATCCACTGCCTTGGCTTTAAACCAACTATTCGGGTCTGCGGTTGACGGAGTTAGACCAGGAAGCTGTGCTTCAATCCCTATACGGTCACATTTACCAGAAGAAACAAAAAGCTGAAAGCCAGCGATACCGCTTCAATTTGGAGGCGACTAAGCGGTACGTTGGACAAGTTCACCACCTACTTCTGCGGGTTAGGTGGAAGTTGGTCATAAAAACCCTCAGCAGTCAAAGAGTCAAAAATTGGTTGTCTTGTTGACTTGAAGCAAGCGCAGAAAATTATAAAATGTCATGCCATAAACAATAATGGGACTGTTCAAGAGAGGTTCAACGCATCCAAAACTGTCTTTCAGCTGTGTGATACGATACACAGAAGTCTCAACATGAACCTTCGTGCATCGTCGCAAATTCCTAGAGTTAACGTGCATTTGGTCATTCCTCAGTGCTTTTCAAAACCGACGTTGATACATGGGCAAACTTATGGATTCCTTACAAGCGCCAATACGTGTGGCTTCTCGCGAAATGGAACAACGTAAAGACACTCTATCCAGTGAACAAAACTTGTTAGGTGTGAGGCGTTTCTCTAAGAATTTCATGCAGCTATTTCCTTCAGAAATATCAAGATAACAAGTACGAACAAGATTCTTGCGGGGTAACTTGAATTCGGTTTGTTTCGTGTCTTCTCATTCTGCCGTTTACAGACAAATCGTGGAAAGAGTAAAGGAATGCGTTCGAAAAGGTGGTCATTAAGGAAATCAATAAAACCTTGAGAAAATTAAGGTCATCACCTACTTCATACCAGGGCAAGGCAAGACTGGCCACAAGGTCGAGCTGTTTGCAAAAGTTAGGTTTCATTCGTCGGATGGCGGAGGCTTCAGAGAAACGAAGCAAGCTCGCGCCGTTCTGTCTGCCGGTAACCTTGAATGCGTCACGTAGGTTTTCGCACAAGGTGCGATCGGGCAGATGCTAATCGATTGAGCTGACAAAGTTTAGGGCAACTATTTGCGGGTTCCGTTGAACATGTTTCATGATCCTAGTTGATAGCCTCTCGGTTCGGCCAATGTACGTGCTACCGCAAGTAAAGATGAGTTGGTAAACACATGAGACTGTAACCTGAGAGTGAAGCTTATCCAAGTTGGATTCATAGAACAGGTTCTTGGTAGCACGTACATTGGATAGTACATAACCAGGGCTAAGGCTGAAGATGATGAGGCACAGTGAACCCTCAGTAGAAACTATCTCATCAGCGCCACTTGACCCTGCCTCGTTGTCAGACTAACCGTGACCACTAAGTTATGTATCGGTGAGCCTGCAATCTGCTAGAACTGGCTCACATCTCTCTTTCCACTGCTCTTAACTTCCATCATTTCTTCAGTTCAGAAGGCATGGTGGATGACCGGTTAGTGTATTTGTTGGGCAAAATGAAGTTTCGCTTCATTGAAATGTCATTACCTACTAATCAAAAGTATAATTCAGTAACGTGTAACTAGGTGAATCTAGTATGCTGATTTTGGTGAAAACGATGACGTGGTTACTACTTCCGTTTATATCATCTTTCCCCATTACAACGGAGTGTGTTCCAAGTAACTCCAAAGAGATAACCATTAAAAGTCAAAAAAGCACACTGGGCTGTCGTATCGTCCTTCTCTGTAGCTATCAGCAGGAGACACTTACGGAGCTTGTTGAGGGATCGATGTCGTCGTTTAGATGTTAGGAGATATCAACTTTCAGCACAAATGTGGTGCCCTTAGTTTCACAGTGGTGGAACCAGTGCTGAACTTCCAGTGGGGTATATTTGTAGCCATTTAAAGTAAAACAAATTGAAGCCCCTTACTACGACCGTACAACCGTTTTTCCGCTTTCCGTCCCCCATGTGCATTACCGTGTCAAATACGCAAAAACATTAGGCAGATTTAGTTGGAGTGAAGTCAAAATATTATAACTATGGTTCACCTAAATGGTTTCCTTCTTGTAAATAGAAATAAGGTATCTCGTAACGAGATAGATTAGCAACATTCACAGTTGGTGCCAAGAGTTCGGGCAATAACGGTGATGGAGTTGCGCATTACTGAGGAGTCCCAAGAGGATGTACTGATATTCGAAGAGTCCGTGAGATGTTGATCTACCATCGGAGTGGATCTAGGGATATCATCATCATATATCGTATATATAGAGTAATCCCACGATCAGTTTTCATCCTATTGTGCGACGGATAGAAAATTACAACAACGTTGATTACCAGACCATGCTTGTAATCTAGATGCATGCAGAGTCAGCAACTTACTATTCTCCGATTACATTATAGTCTGAAAGGTCCCAGACATAAACAATCGTGTTGAAAGGCTGTTGAGATGTGCGCCGCTAGAATAGAGGCAATTTAAGCTATAACAGTTAGGTTAACGCTAAAGGACAGCAACTTGTGTCCATGATGTACCTAGTACAGTGAGAATCTACCACTTTCTTTGTAAATGGCAGGGACATCGACCAGACCTAATGCTTCTTTCCTCCGACACGAATAACCATTATGCTCGATTTGATATGTGGTATGTAGTATTGTTGTAGCTGAACAGGCAATGAAGGAAGTCAGATTCACCGGGTCATCCCAAGACTTCCCGCTTCATGGCCGCGGCACTACGCCCACCAGGTTCAGGGGAACTAACTGCTCATCCATATTGGACAGAATATTCACCAATGAAGAATTAATGGCCGAGAGAATGATAACCGATACTCCTTTGGGCCGCAGTGATCATGCGACACTAGTGTTTCATTACATGTGCTACGCGGATTATCCTAAAGAGCAAGCCGAGGAATATCATGTCGTAACCAACTATGACAATCTGTCCGACCACATTGATGCAACAAGCTGATCGTTCTTAGCCGAATTCATCCCTGAGGTGGCCTGCGGAGAGTTCGTCAACATATTTACCAAGTTCGCGGCAAGCACATCTGAAACCAAACTCTACCGGCCTAAAAGGATGAAGTCTTTCGTAAGGAGCAGGATACGTAAATACATGACATTAAGGGACTTGGCATGGCTCACCTACATAGCCTCCCCGAACGGCCATACCTGGGATGTCTACACAATACATAGAAATCAATGTGTCAAGCTCGTCCGGGAGAAGAAACTGAAGAACCAACCAGGTCTAGTGGAAAAGTTCTGCTCCAATCCCAAACTGCTATACATACACGTAAACAACTTGCGCCGTGTTAAGCGCCGTATTCCTGCTTTGCACACAGCATGCGGGTCAGCCCAAACCGCACAAGACGTGGCCAACGTCCTTGGACAACAATTTGACCGTACCTTCCATAGCGCGTAATCAGCATACATCCTGCCTAAGCAGATAACGCCGCCATCAGGGCTCAATCACATATCGTTCACCACCGCAGCTGTACTGAAGAGGCTGATGTCTCTGCGCGAGTTCAGCTCCCCGGGTGCGTACGGCATTCGCCCGAAGGCGTTGAAAGTTGCTGCCATGAGTTCGGCAGGACCAGTAGCAATTTTCTTTCAACGATGTCTGAATGAGATGCACGTCTCCATGATGTAGAAGCACGGAATCATCAAGCCAATCTACAAAAGTTGCAGTCATGCTGAACCAGCAAATTATCGCCCGATAACACTACTTCCTGTGACCTCTAAGGTTATGGAGTCCATTGTAGCTGAGGCTTCGATGGGGTACCTGGAGAACAACAAAATTCTCGTCCCGGAGCAACACGGATTTCGTCAAAATCGCTCCTGTACCACTAATCAGTTGATTGCTCGTGCAAGCTGGACGGAATCTGTGGACGCTGGTGTAGGAGTCAACGCTGCCTAATTGGATTTCTCAAAGGCATTCGACCGTCTAGACCATCGCATTCTCCTCCACAAACTCCAGAAATATGGAATCGGCGATCCTGTTCTGGGCTGGATAGGAGACTTTCTCATGTAACGTCACCTGAATGTGAGGGTTCGAAGCAACCTGTCGGAATCCATGGAAGTTCAGTGCGGCGTACCTCAAGGCTCGGTAATTGGACCCCGCCTGTTCCTGATTTCCTTAAATGATCTCGCTAGCGTGCTATCTTTAACTGTTTGCTATTTGCTGATGATCTAAAGGTATGACGTACTATAGCTGCAGTGGAGGATCACACAGTGTTACAGGAGGATCTGGACAAAGCGTACATGGTCCATCGAGAAGATGCTGCATTTCAACGTCACCAAGTGCAAAGTCCTCAGTATACGGCACAATAGTATGCACAACTACCGCATAGGACCACAAACTCTACAACGGGTTTCTCGCGAGTGTGATCTCGACGTGATAGTTCAAGATGACCTCGGTTGTTTGAAGCAGACTGAGAAGACAGCTAAGAAAGCGAACCAGTACCTCGGCCTTATTCGCAGTGCTTCCGGAAAGTTTGACCCTTCTGTCTTTCCAAAAATGCTTAGTGCGTATGTGAGGCCGCACGCGGAATACGCTATTCAATCGTGGCAACCCTGACTCAAGCACCATCTCATCGCGCTCGATACTGCACAACTTAGGGCAACAAAGAGCGGCAGAGGTTTGACCAGCCTTCCCTACCAACTCAGGCTGAAGACCCTCAAAATATACAGTGAACGTTATCGGCGTCTAAGGGGAGATCTCATAATGGTGTACCGGATCCTGAGAGACCCTAACCACCCATGCCATTCCCTTCTAATACTCAGTCAAAAACACCCCGCTAAGAGGTTACCAGTTTAAGGTGGTCACGCAGTACAGCCGCCTGGAATGTCGGCGAAACAATTTCTCCCTTCGAGTGCCACAGCCTTGGAATGTCTTCACGGAACATGTAATTAATGCACCCACCCTATCCCTTTTCAAAAAACGCCTTGACGATACTCTGTCACATTTACACTACGTACTATAGCCCATAACCACCAGATGCTGGCACTAATGCACAACAGACAGGGGATAGTGCCATAACCCTACTCGAGAATGAGTAACTTCAAACGCCTTGCACGAAATTTGATAAACGCTACTACTATAGAAACTGGATTTCTGTATCCTGTCAACCCAAGATAGTTGCACACGAGTAAGCGTTGTCCTTGCTATCTTTTTATTTTTTTCTCACCCATTATGTGATTAGTAACCATTCCCCTTATTGGTTTGTGTGCCAACATTCTCATTTCAAACTCACTTTATACGGCAGTGCAGTTAAATCTGTAATCGCCCAAACTGAGGACTCCATTATCCCTTGATCTATCTTTTCTCGCTCTAAACACCCTACGGGACATGTCAAGCACCTGCTTTTTGCCCGTTATAAATCATTGTTCATTGTTCAAGACGTACTTATGTGAGCAAAAGTCACTTCAATACATGCAGGGATACTTTTACTAGAGGTGACGAAATCAAAGATTGTAATTTCAGGTGTGAACAGTGAAGACTTACCCATCACCGTCAACGTCAAGCAGCAGGACACAATGCCCGAAGCGGCTACCAAACCGCTGACCGCGTACCACAGACACAGGGCTGATGCTGGTCTCCTCATTCCGCAAGCGATTGGGAAATAGGAGGACCATGCCGGTGCCCATCGTTTCGCTGGCATCATTCATCACAGGAACTCCGGGACCACCGTAAGCGACATGTACGGTCGGCTGAGCGTCAGGTCTTGCAGCGAATATACGATCAGATACGTCGAGGGATGATCCTACAAATTAATTTGTGTACGTTCTCGTTGGGGTAAAAGTTAAGCATCTGTCAAGATCACAGTTGACTCTTCAAGAAAAAATAATTTAGTGGTGGTAACATGACCCAGGGAACGTCAGGTCCAAAGGAACAATCATGCAAAGAGAAGATAGGTGGACGAGGAGGTAAGAAGTTTCCACATGTAGGGGACTTGTAGCAGTGTCATTGCTACATCTAGCAAAGTTAGGCGCTAGTTTAGTGTGCATGCCATCTAATTTTAAACAATGGTCCTAGTCAAGCGAAGAAGCATCGAGTTGACAGCCATATGATTTGACAGAAATACTGGTTATTTGGAATTCAACTCTGGCGGTGACGAGCACTGCTGTCCAGAATTTGTCTCTATGAAAATATCTACCAAGAGAGTGAGGTGTCCTTGATCAAGACAACTTCCACGGAACGCTATCTGTGCACCATTGAGGATAGTTCAAAGACTGTCTCATCTCATTTTCTCCGATGAAACCACTGAAATATTCGACGTTAATAAGGTTAATTGTAATTGAATACCATCGGAAAAATAGAAATAAACTTACACTCCCTTCTTAAAGCATAAGCTCTCGAGGTCGGCTTTGTTCTCATTTTGTATCCTTAGACAGAAACATTTCGAATGGCGTGTGAAATAGCAGCGTCAAAATAGTATCATCGAAAGGAAAATTCTGTCCTACACTAAGCATTTTTGTACCATATACTAATGCTTATAGCATTTTATGATAGCAGTGTGCGATTGAACCGTGCTGAGCAGCATCGAAAAGAACACGTTCTTGAAGGGAAATCTCCGTAGACATGACAAGCCAAAATTACTCAACCAGCTGTTTGAAGAACGCATATTGTTATCCATGGAAACAGTGAGATGTTCAACAAAAAACGACTGAATCTTCAGCCGTTCGTCCAGCCTGAACTAGTGCAAAAAATATGGGGTGGATTATCAAAGTAGAAACTTCAGTTATATTCAAGAATGATGGTTAGCAGCCGGCACCTTTCAGTCAGACTTTGTGTATGTGTGCATTGTAGTCTTGTACATCTAGCCAGCTGGCACACTTAAAGGAAGAAGTGTTGATCAACCCGGTTTTTGACTAAAGACATATTCATCGCTAGAAAGCTCGCACTGACAGATGAGCAACGTATTATGGAGATGTAAATGTGTGATTCAACGCCACTGTCGGGAGCAGCAACTCCGAAATATCTCCAGCGGAAATTTTATCAACCGGTGCAGCCAAGTGGTGATCCACAGCACATCGGATGTAGGAGTCGGTAGACAAGACGAGCAGCAGCATTCGAAGTTCTCAATGCAATCACCCCGGTAAGGTGCGATCACTAAGCATATCCGCTCTAAAACATCGGGAACAATAAAGAGAAGTACCAGGATTCTGTGATTCATTCTACACTGGCTGACGGGTCGTATCCGAAATTTTCAGCTATGACTTAGGTGGTTTTCGTCTCAGTCCTCACGGTTCGCTGTCTCAGTGGCCTACACTGCTCTCTAACTGTCGCCACTACAGAAATAACTGAACTAACATTCCGAAACAGAGATGTGGTTTTTCGGTGACTGGAGTAAAACATAACTTTCAGAAGGATAGTGCCCATTAGGAAGTATTTGGAATTAAAACTGGATACTGGGAAAGTAAAGACATCTGATCGATAGACAAAATTAAATCTGAATTTTCTGCCCTTTGCATTGTTCTTAGCTGCATGGCGTTCAAGGCCTCCGACAGTCAACTAAACCAGTTAGGATCCAGGGGCTCCTGTGTAGCAGTATTGAGTCCTATCGCAGAACGATGTGAATCCGATGTAAAACTGTTTACATAGCACATACTATGTTTGTGACAGGGCGAATGTCAACACAGGTGGCTATCTAACTTTATGAAAAAGCCATCTCAACATGTTTGGTGTGTGTTTGATTCGGATATTAAATGTGGGAGCGACACGAACGTTCGGACAATTAATATAATGAGAACTGCCTTGACCGGAAAGTTAGCTATCGACAAGTACCTCGGCTGTCCTTCGCTCTGGTTTCTGTTCAATGTTGGGAGACTCCGAAACCAAAAGCTGGAGGCGCAGTCAGTATGGCTGATCTCGACCGAGGCGTAATAAAAAGTCAAAAATGTACTGTTACAGAGGTGCGACCGAGTTGCGTAGGCCAAAATGAACCCCATGATTCGTGAAACACGTGTATAGCAAGAAAAATAACCAAGCATACAGAGTTTTCTAAACACAGAAGGCACTGCACTCGAAAATTGCCTTCCTCTTTTTAGGTCACCCGCGGTGCGAACGAGAAACCAAGTTTCAGTATTCCTGTGTCCAACATGCTAATGACAGATGGGACACAGTAGTCCTCCCTAGTCAATCAATCCTGTTTTCTTTCGGTGCTGGAACTGACTAAATGAATAACTGCGGGAGCCATCACGCAGATTTAAGTTAGAGGTAAACCCAGAGCAATCGTTGTTCTGTACGTGTGTTCTAAGTGCAGTTAGCCCTACGGTTGTGATTTTCAAAAACGGAAGGAATCTAATATAGGTTGACTGTGTACGGCAGAAGGTTCTGCAAAATATGACTGCGCGCAAGTGCCTGTACCAGTACCGACTTGGCGCTTGAGGCTGCGGTAGAAAACACACATCGTGTTTCTTTGTTTCATGATTTAAAATAATAGTGGCGCTATTGGCTGGTCTCGTGTGACACCTTAACTATCATAGAAGTAATGAGATTTGATACTCGAATCTTGCGCCATCAAATCCTTGGAGAATATTTGGTTGCAGCGTTTACCCAAACGATGAAGAGAGGTCGAAATTGATCCATCCGTGTCCAGCAACGGGAGGTTGGTGTGAGTCGACACAGATTAAGCCATACGCTCAATCTGAAGTGGGAGCATGTGCACCAGGAAAGGTCAGGTTACTCGGGAAGTTGGGAGTGTGAGCAACTGCATTCAGATTGAGTGTGTCATCCGCGTGGTCACAGATCCGGGCTGCCGCAGCTAAGATATGCTTGTGAAGCAATGTGAGGTCCACTCTGCGCAGACCGCAAAACTATCGAGAGATTGATATGTAAACAAGTGGGCTCCGGACCATTCTTATTGGTTCATTATTTCGGAGGTCTCAGGCACAAGCTGACCGCTTTGCAATGACCCCACTTTGTCTACATGTGCACTGATGCCGCATAAAGCCGCAATGAAAAGATGTCCGACAATGGCTAGGGAATAGTCAGCCAGTAAAACAAGTCACGCCACGCTACTGAACAACGCACTGATGATGTCACCTCGATTGGTGACGAAGCGTTTGCAACAAAATTGCCAAGCCCAGTGAACAGTTCAACTGTTACCAGAACAACCTGAACTACCAATCTTTGCTCTTATTTCAAGTGGGTGGGATTATTTTAACTCCATTAATAAGAACGATGTATGTCTTTTGTGGAAGTATAGGATTCTATATTATTATGACCCCACACGTCATCCGATTTATAAGTTTTAAGCACCGATTTCTTCACTCTATACTCTTTCAAAGTAAATGAAGAGCAGATTAAGTAGCTTTTTTCAGCCTCGTCATTAGAAGAGCAGCAAGGTGATTGTTTTGATGGTGTCTAACCGACTGGTGATGTGATTGGTTCGGTTTTCCCGAAAGTGAACACTGACAACTTGTCTATCCAACAAAGTTCATTACCTTATTTACTAGGTCCAAGAGACTGTTAACCGGGGTGTCAAGTCATAGTGAAAATACCGTACTAAAATGCGGTTCTACCATAGGAAGTATGGGGTAAGCGACCAACCTGTTAACGTGCATGTGTATAGATTATGTTAACTGTTAAAGCATTGATCGACTAACAGACAACTATCTCACGAGTCGAATGCTGTCAATGTTTGCATATGCTCTCTTGTGGTGGATTGCAACACCCAAGCCTGCACATGAACAATATGTTTGCTGAAGTAGAGTGAGATGCATTAAAAACAACGGTGATTCTCGTTTATGTGCTTTCCGAACACAATACATGAGGTGTGAAGTGCGTTACTGCGGCTTTGGTGGTGCAGCGTAAGGCCCCATGGTCCCTGGCGCAGACGAGCGTTAGCTATCTGAATTTACACACACAGGCAGACCAGGAAACGGATGCCATCAACCATACAATCAGTAGACCCTATCACTTACTGTCGTGCATTCGTGCTTGCGTAGAATAACGTGAGCCACCTCACTTCGGCCATAACCTGTGGGATTTGCAGGTTTTCGTTCATAAACTGCCAGTTGTGTGAATGGATATAGTTCTTCTTCAACTGGCCTTTTCCTTACCTACTGACCATTCCCTAAAGATCGCTCATTCACACAATCCACCAGCGATGACACATTTTAGACGTATTTCTTTAATGTTTGAAGGATACCAAGACCCTTTTTTGAAGTCGCTCCATCAGTTGCTTCTCAGCATGGTTTATTAATCACACTGTGATCATCAGTGCACCAAAAGCGGGACGGCATTTCTGGACGGATATGGTGAATATTACGATTTCTCTACAGATTCATAGCAGCTATCCGGAATGGGTATTGCACTACAACCACCGACGGCTTTAAATTTCGGACTTCCCGAAATTTATCTACCATAGTAATCGGGAAGTTGCTATTTGTTGAAGTGGTGTAAAAGTATATCCCAATTTCTGAAGGACTATTTAGTAATCGTCATAACAAAAATTATGAATGCCTGTAGCAACAGCAGGAAGTAGAGGTAACAACGGAAAAACTATTTTCTAAATCGCAGTTACCGACAAGTGAGTTGGGGGGAAGTCCATCGATTGAGGTGAGCATTCTTCTGTACTCTTTCGTATCCATGACAAGTCCCAATCCTAAAAACAGATTAACAGAACTTTGATGTCATAGCTCAAACTGAACGGTGACATAAATTAGCATTTCAAATGTGTGGCGTCAATGAGAGAGGGAACTTTGTTCGCTTTTTATTTTAATGCATATTATGTGCAGTGACGACGAAAAGTAAACTGAAAACTTCCGATTGGTGATGGAGTGAGTAGATTTCCGGACGATTCGGTGTAACCGAAAGAAGTGAGCACTTGATTCGGTTACACCCTCGTCGGATTTACAGAAATGAATGTCGGCATAGAATCTCGGTCGAGTATCTCACCTTTTGCATAGTAGAAGTATGGTCCACCCATGTACAACTCCTCAGGTATACTCGGATGTTGTCCAACAGATGCTCCCATAGTACAGTGTCTTAAATCAATAGATTTTGCGGCCTCCTGAATTCCTTGACAGGCCAGCATAGAAGGCATATGGACCTTTGCACTTCGTAGCTGAGAATCCAATTCGAAACAACCCCCACTGACATATACTAGGGAGACTGCAGATCGGGTTAACCTGGGTGCACAAACCTGATTGGGATGAGGGAATAAGCAGTGACTAGACACTAGAAGGATAAATGTAACATCGGATAATTCTGATAATGATAAATGATCGCTCAGCATACCACCAAAGGTGATGTACCGATAACCGCTTCATAACTGCGCACGCTAACTTACCTGAAAAATCTAGTGTCGCACCGGATGGCTGAGAGGATTGGAAGCCCTCAGTTTTCGTAGTCCATTGTGCAGCAGAGATATAAGTAAGATCTCAGTAGGGTTACCTATAAACCTACTCGCGACAGACTAAAAACTACAAAACGGTGCATCCGTTCACTTGGCATCTACCGCACTTGGACTCGTCAAGCAATCATTTTGGAATACACCAGCTTTCCCATGGAGTTAAAACTTTACCTTGATGGCTCTATAGCAACACGAAGCGAGTGCGACGAGGGCTGAAGCAACCATTTCTGAGCAAAAAATTTTTTCTGGGTTCAAGTCATTAAAATCTCGCTCCCTAGATCAAATAAAACAATTCCAAAAATTTCCAACACCCAATACCATAGAACGGTCTGATGCGTTAGGAAATTACTGCACTCTTTAAACTCACAGGTACAGTCTCTCAATGATCAGATAAATAAAAAAGTTACATTTTAACCATGACACTAGGCTCATTCGTGGCAACCAAATTTTTCATTGGATTGGTATTAAAAAGGAGGAAGAAAATGGGCACTTAACAGCCATCACACACTGAACTGGGGTAAACAAATAGCTTAGAGCAATGATGACGGTATTGCGTTGTTGCTCCATCCATCCATAAGCAAGCTGCCGTGCATGAGTAGCGTGATAGCGGGCGAATCAGTCCGCTTGGCATGTGTGAAATACTTCACGGGTCAACAATGGCTCAAATGTAAACCAGCAACTTCGAAAAAATGCTTAAGAGATTCATTGGTCGAATTCATAAAGTTCCCTTGTAGACTGAACAACAGCGACTATACTCTATTCCGTCCGTGAGAAAATTGCTATCGAACATCAAAGCCAACTCAGAAACAACGGAGGCAACTGCCTAAAATTCTAAGTGTAAGTGCGTGAAGGAACGACTCCGTGCGGCTTGGCTTGGACAGCTATTACCAAATTATTACGATTAAAACCAACCATGAATACCTTTGGCTAAAATTCTGCTGGCACGCCACAGTAGGGGGAATTCCACGGGTTTACCATGTTATTTGGTTCGAACATAGTAAAAATGTAATGTACGCATTCTTGTAAGCAATACGTGCGATAGTCATAACATTTTAGGGAACGGTGTCGCAGCTGTCCTCGAAGTTTAACTCATGTTTGGTGGAAGCACCGCGTGAGCAATGAACATGTTCTGTGTCGCGTGTTTGGTGCAGGAAGAGCTAGTGAATCGCTGAGCACTATTATATCACGCACACGGCCACGTGTTACGTATGCCAGCACACCGACTCTCGCGACGTGCATTACTGCGCGCCGGAGGTGCGGTTGAAAGAGGAGGAGGGGAGGCCAATCGATGACTTGATGGAGAGAAATGAATACTCTCACTTCGAAGCTGGTATCGGTTGGTGCATCCCGACTGTCTGCCTGGGATCCGAAGGACGATGAACACGTTTGGTTGGACACACTTGCTGGCATGGCGAATAGACGGCCCCAATGGCGTTTGTGTTGTGAGTTTCTTTGTCCATCTCTCTCCCCTTTAACTTCCTCCTCAATTTCCGATCTAATACGAAATGAACAATATAATATTTAACTGTATTTAACTTGTTTTTGTAAGCTTTTTAGTGTTTAATTTTGTAGTATATTATCTTTTGTAGTGCGGCACATTAGCTGAGGTGTGTTTCTCACCCTCAGCTAAGGTGTCTTGATCATAATAAAGTCCGCGCAAAGACCTAGAAGGACACGCCAATGTCAGTCACATGTAGGCGAAAGCTAAGCGTTACCGGAGTGCAACTCTGCCATCCACGACCGATTTCGGGTTTGTTCGCACTGTCTAAGCGGAGCCGGAAATAGAACCGGTTAGCATTTCCACTCCTAAGCTGCTGAGCTTCAAGAGTAACCCTCGTCAAAACGGTTAATGGCTCGTTGTTTGTTTGTTTAGACCACGGGTTGCGTGGATGGATTTCGACACCAATTCGCAGATGGTTCTGATGTAATTGAGAAGTGCACATGTCACAAAGAAGGTAGCAGCTATCTGACCTCACTAAAGTTGAGAAATGTCAACTTGTAATGAGTGGTTCATGGATTTGTTATCACAAAGCACTACCCAACAAACTGGTACAAATGGTCGCGTATCACAAGTGTGCTTGTTATTTGTGGCAACTGACAAATACTTCACTACACGAACACTGGAAAATCCCATCTCACATCGTCAAACGCAATTATTGAGATTACTAGCAGCGGCTCCATGAATAATATCCAACGAACAGGGGGGATTTCGAAGGCATTGTGGATCTTGGGGGTGAAAAGGTGAGCAGATCAGTCATGCAATTGTAAAGTATACACGTAAAATTATCTCGTTTTTAGAATTTTCAATGACTACCCCAGTGTAGCGGACCGTTTGGGGTATCTGGTGCTGCCAAGGTGGTTCATTCCGGCCCTTCATACGCGTTATCAGTGAAACTGTGACAGGAATCAGTGGAATACATGTTTGTGTCATGCGCACTAGCCGTCAGCACTCGTGATACTCCCATGCACAGCCACCTCCCATCGCCCGTAATATTCCGGGCGGGAAACAAACCGTCACTGCTGGATCTTGTGCTCACAGAGGAAGAGTTAATGGTCGACAAGTTATTGATGAAGAGTACACGAAGCTTCAGGGACCATGTCCTCATAAGATTTAACTGCGTTTGTTACGCAAAATATCCAACTGTACACACGGAATCGGCCTTTGTAATCACGCGCTACCACATCTTAACAGAAAACATTGAAGCTTTTCTTGACAGTTCTTGAGCACCAGTACAGTTGATGCTGTCTAGACAGAGGTCGTTAAGAAAATCAGCGACATACAAATGTACATGAAATCAAGCTACTTCGTTCCGCAAAAGTGCCATCACTCATCAGAAGCAGTGCTCGGCTTTGCATGGCAGTATCGAATGCCTACAAGATCATCCTTAATCCGGAAATCCTGGGGATACTAATAACACATAGTAGCCATTTTGCTGCACTTGTCCGTGAGGACAAGTTGCCTATGAACAGCGTTTAGTCCAAAAGATACAGGCCCACGGTAATTTACTGCACATACGTATCAACAACTTCGTAAATTAGAGCATGGTATCCCACTACATATCGCAATCAAGGGCAGAGCACTTAGCACTGAAAAGCGGGAAACACTCTACGACTACACGGCGAGTTACGAACATTCACCCTGTCCGTGTCACATACCGATAAGCATTTTAGCGACTTCAGGATGTACACGTTTCATCTTCAATCCAGCAAGTTTGCTGACTAAATTCCACTCACTGTGCGTTCGTAGTTCTTCGGCAACCGACAACAGTCATTCGAAGGCACTAGAGGTTACGGCTGCAAAGTTAGCAAAGCCTCAATCGTGGTTATGTTAAGTTTGCTTAGATGAAAAACAAGCCCCAACTATGTGGAAATAGGGTATTATTACCCCTATTTTTGTGGGCCGCAAACGTTCAGACTTTGTAAACTATCATTCGTAAACTCTACTTCTCGCGCTTTCGTAGGTGACGGAAGCCGTCTTCGTAAACGTTCTGGCGGACTACCAGGAAAAGTGCAACCTCATGATCCCGGAGTAGCACGGATTCCGTCAACACCGGAAATGTACCAGCAAACTGCTGGTACCACGAGGTAGTTGAACGGAATCGGTCGATGGTGGGACCTGGATCGAAGTTATGTACTTAGATTGTTTCAAGGCTTCTGATGTCTTGAATCTCTGCATCCTACTTCACTGGCTACAGATCTTTGGAATCAGGGATCCGCACCCTGGATGGACCAGAAGCTTCCTTCCCAACTGAGGCTGCAAAGCGAGTTCGGAGATCATTCTCCAACCAAAATGACGTGGAATACAGTGTCACACAAGGTTAACTGCTGAAGCCGAGATTACTTTGGTGTTTATTTATGACCTTGCAAGAGTTATCGCTTCGAGTTGTATGCTTTTCGCCGAGGGGGGTCCAGATGTAGAGAGTAATTGGTAGCAATGAAGATGACAACTTCCACTAACTTGACCTGGATAGTCTTTAGGAATCGTCGATGAGGAATCTGCTACAGTTTAGCGCGGCTAAGTGCAAGGTGGCTCATATAAGTCATTAGTCAGCACGCACGCACACATTCGGGTACCAACCCTAGTGCAAAGCATCGCAAACCACATGTACCGCCTGCCTCTGGAACTCAGACATGCCATCCTAAGAGGTTGTGGGTTAAAGTTATTCATGCTGTGGAGACTTCTCACCTCGAGCTTATCAGTTGTGCAGTGTCCTATCCTCGTACATTGCTTCTATCCAAAGTTTAGCGATACGTGTAAAACGACTCGACAGCGCATTGTGTTAAGTAACTTGTATTAGCAAGGAGGTTACATATGATGACCAGTGTAGGCCCAAACTCAAACCCGGTGGAGTTATATTTGCTATTAGTGAACATCTCAAAGTTAAGCAGTTCGCACCCGACTTTATTGATGTGCACCTTATTAATTTTGCCATCCTCATCTCGGCCAGCATACGGTACCTGTTAAGCGTTGACTTTCTTACCCGTTATATGCCATCTATCCATAGTCATCTCTCAATGTTAGACTTACACACGGGAACAAACGACAGATAAAGGTAAAACATTGGCAGAGCCAATGGTAGAATGCTCGCGTGTGAATGGATCATGAACGAATGAAGTCTATTTGCGACTATTTGTTTCATTACCTGAACATTAGACAAAATTCTGTAAAATACTCTGAGGACGCAAAATAGATTTGAAATGGACTAAATGACTTGTTTGTCTACATGAGAGGTACGCGGACTGAATTCAAGCGTGACAAAGTTGATGTTCCCGAGTGAGACGACAAGCAC